TACCAATTCATGCGTGTCGTTTGCCTGTTTTTCGGCATGTTAACAACCGGCCCAATGTAGCCAGGGTTTGTCAGGACTTTATCGCAAGCAATTACATTTACCCGCTCAATGGTCTCCGTAAAGTTCACCTTTTTCTAATCGAACGCCTGTGGGACTAAGTAGACAATAGGGTTCGAAATGGCCAAGCTGGCCTCGATCAACTATGGGTTGCCTTGTCGGAAGGATTGAAGGAATTATTTTTTAATTGTTTGGATAATGTGATACTCTAACAAAATCTCACGGAATATTGGAGATGGTAGATCTAATAAGCAAGTGCTAGTATTACAACAAGCTGCTCCACCTCTTGCATCATCTGACTCAAGAGGCTCCACCCCTTGCCCTTTCTGACACACCATTTTGGAGCTGCCATCCTCCATATTTTACACCAAGCCACTGAGCATTGAGGGATCTTTTTCGTGCCAGCTACTAGACACCGGAATATTTGGTCTAGGATTGATCTCCACGCCTCGCAGTTGGATTCGAACCCATGATGTAATAATCAAATCCTTACCTCTCTAGAACTAAATGCCCTGACCACTGCGCCAGGTAGACGACGAACTGAATCTGGTGTGTTGGTACAAAACAAATGGGGAAGGTTTTGGCCTTGAAGGGCGACTTTTAATTTGCATTTAAAATATTTTAACAAGGTTTAAACCCTACATGACAAAATTTTCAAAATTTCATATACTAACATAATTAGGAAATATTCAATCTAACTGGATGAGCATACCTTCAATATTCTATGAAAGATTTATAAGAATTGTTATGGAACTTTGCAAATCTAGGAATTTTACCTTTTATTACTGTTATTATCATTCTTATCAAGCTTGATGAAAAATTGAGAATAACATTTCTATAAATTGCTGTCTTACAATTATACCCTTTGAATTTTGAATCATTTGAAGAAAAAGACAATGATGAAGTATATCCTTTAATATTATTATCGGTCGCAGCAGCGGCTGATCTACATATATTTGTGGTTGTGTTAGAAAGTGCACATTGGGAAATGAGAAATAATCTTTTTATTAGTTCGGTAAATAATTCGTTAATGATATAATGTATAAAAATTATGAGTAAAATATTTTTAAAACTTGCTTTAAAGTTATAATTGCTGTTATATTTTTCAATTTTATTTTCATTTTCTTGTTAGATAAATATTATTTTTTTTATGATATGATTAAAAGATTTTACAATAGATGGAGTTTGTAAGATATGAACGCAATTCGTTAGATTTTCCAGATACTAATCTTACAGTGGCAAAAGTAATAATTAAAACAAGAGGCCCATGGGCCACATCGCTCACCTGAGCACATTGGCTAGGCAAAAGCACAAATCAGTTCAGTATTGAAAAGATTACTGGGGGGGGGGGGGGGAGGGGGGCTTGAATTTTAAACTACCTGATGATGCTTCCATGTCAATATAACAAATGGCTTTATTGTACTTGAGAATATTTTTAAAAAGTTTTCCCATATATTCCTTTGTAAAAATTTGATCCCCCATTGTGGCAGCGGAGTCCTCCCTATCCCAGGGGTCATCATTTGAACAAACTTGAATCTACACTACCTGAGGATGCTTCCATCTCAATATGACTAAACATAGATTTTCTGTTCTTGAGAAGAAATATTTTTTTCTATATGTTCTTATGTAAAACTTTTGATCCCCATTGGGCCCCACCCTACCCCCTGGGGGTCATCATTTGAACAAAATTGAATTTACACTACCTAAGGTTGCTTCCATATCAAAATGACTAAACATGATTTTCAGTTCTTGAGAAGATATTTTCCTACATGTTCCTATGTAAAATTTTTGATCCCCCATTGTGCGCGACCCTATCCCTGGGGGTCATCGTTTTAACAAATTTGAATCTACACTACCTCAGGATGCTTCCATAGCAAAAAGACTAATCATGGTTTTGCAGTTCTTCAGAACAAGATATTTTCCTATATATTTCTATTTAAGACTTTGATCCTCCATTGTGGCTCCACCCTACCCATGGGGGTCATGATTTGAACAAAATAGAATCTACACTACCTGAGGATGCTTCCATATAAATATGATCAATCAGGACTTTGCTGTTCCTAAGAAGAAGATTTTTACAGATTTTTCCTACATATTTCTATGTAAAACTTTGATCCTCCATTGTGGCCCTGCCCTACCCCCAGGGGGTCATGATTTGAACAAACTTGAATCTAACTACCTGAGGATGCTTCCATATAAATATGACTAATCATGGCTTTGCTGTTCTTGAGAAGAAGATTTTTAAAGATTTTTCCTATATATTTCTATGTAAAACTTTGATCCTCCATTGTGGCCCCACCCTACCCCGGGGGGTCATGATTTGAACAAACGTGAATATACACTTTCTGAGGATGCTTCCATATAAATATGACTCATCATGGCTTTGCTGTTCTTGAGAAGAAGATTTTTAAAGATTTTTCCTATATATTTCTATGTAAAACTTTGATCCTCCATTGTGGCCCTGCCCTACCCCCAGGGGTCATGATTTGAACAAACTTGAATATACACTATCTGAGGATTCTTCCATATAAATATGACTCATCATGGCTTTGCTGTTCTTGAGAAGAAGATTTTTACAGATTTTCCTATATATTTCTATGTAAAACTTTGATCCTCCATTGTGGCCCTGCCCTACCCCCAGGGGTCATGATTTGAACAAACTTGAATCTACACTATCTGAGGATGCTTCCATATAAATATGAGTCATCATGGCTTTGCTGTTCTTGAGAAGAAGATTTTTAAAGATTTTTCCTATATATTTCTATGTAAATCTTTGATCCTCCATTGTGGCCCTGCCCTACCCCCAGGGGTCATGATTTGAACAAACTTGAATCTACACTATCTGAGGATGCTTCCATATAAATATGAGTCATCATGGCTTTGCTGTTCTTGAGAAGAAGATTTTTACAGATTTTTCCTATATATTTCTATGTAAATCTTTGATCCTTCATTGTGGCCCTGCCCTACCCCCAGGGGTCATGATTTGAACAAACTTGAATCTACACTATCTGAGGATGCTTCCATATAAATATGAGTCATCATGGCTTTGCTGTTCTTGAGAAGAAGATTTTTACAGATTTTTCCTATATATTTCTATGTTAAACTTTGATCCTCCATTGTGGCCCCGCCCTACCCCGGGGGTCATGATTTGAACAAACTTGAATCTACACTACCTGAGGATGCTTTGACATGAGTTTCATCTTTCCTGGCACGGTAGTTCTTGAGAAGAAGATTTTTAAAAGATGGTATTAATTTTTCACTAATTCTTTATTATCTCCCCTTGAAAGAGGGCGTGGCCCTTCATTTGAACAAACTTGAATTCCCTTCACCCAAGGATACTTTGTGGCAAGTTTGGTTGAAATTAGCCCAGTGGTTCTTGAGAAGAAGTCGAAAATGTTAAAAGTTTACAGACAGACAGACAGACAGACGGACGCCGGACAAAAAGTGATCAGAAAAGCTCACTTGAGCCTTCGGCTCAGGTGAGCTAAAAATGTTAAAACTTGTAAAAATTGTCATGAATATTCTACAGCTACGAATGACACAACGAAAATATTTTCTTTATCGGCATCATCACGTGACAAAGATCCGGGTTATCAGCACATGGAAAGCTTATCCTTTTTGTTCTCTGAAGATCTGAATATAACAATACATTCTTATCATTTATCATTTTCATATCCATGAATAGTGGCGCAGTGGTTAGAGCGTCTGCTCTAGAGTCGCGAGGTAAGGAGTTGATCCTTACGTCGCGGGTTCGAATCACACTGTGGGACGTGGAGACCGGTCCTTCGGATGAGACCATATAAACCGAGGTCCCGTGTCGCAGTAGGTGTTGGCACGAAAAAGACCCCTCACTGCTCAATGGCCGTAAGTGCCGAGCATAGGACAAAATTTGCAGCTCTCCATCGGCAAGTGGTGGCGTCTCCATATGAGTGAAAAATTCTCGAGAGGGACGTTAAACAACAAACAAACAAACAAACAAACATATCCATGAATAGATTTAATTAACAAATGCTCTGAAAGCACATACATGTACCATTTCTATTATTAAATCTTGCAATTTGTGCTGTTTTGGCTTTGAAGACAGTCTGAAATATTTTGCGCTTTTCTTGGACGCTTACTTATCACTGTACTTTTTCGAAAGACTTAATTCTGTATGCGTCCTACTTGATGCTTTGCATCAATTTTACTTGTTTTCATTTAAGTGATGAGTTTTACCTATGGTTCGTTTGATATCACGTGTCAAGATATATGCGGATAGAGCGGGTATTTCTAATTATAAACATAAATACTCGGATCGACCTGCACCTTCTAATAATAGCTATGGGAAGTTTTGCTACATGTAACAATGAATGTGATTCACTGTATTTAAAACAAAATTCTTTACCAGATCACGTGATAACTCTGATTGACAGATACTTTCAAATAACATTATAAATTTGATAAGGGATTTTTTGCTTTATGTTTAAATTTCCATAATTTGATGTCGCCCTTTCAGGCGATATATCGACTTGACAGACTTCTGAGAACTGTTATAGTTGGAAATGTCAAGTATTGATAAACACTGAATAATATATTTTTGTAAAAAAAAATTTAATTGAAGTAAAAAACAGGAACAATTCAACAATGTATATGCAAGCACCTTCTGCTGAACTTTTTTTTTTAAATTATTTACAACAAAAGATGAGTAAATGACAATTGATTCTCACAATCTTTGGTAATTTTTACATCATATAGTACAAATTTCCTTTTCTGCATGAATTCGTTGTTTAGTTATGCACACAAATAGCTGCATCGATTTCAGGGACATTCCATATATAAAAATAATGAAAGAAACTCTTTTTCAGTTAATAAAAATATACATGTGGTTTTGTGGATTATTTTTTTTTATGTTAAATTGTAAGATTTTGCTTAAACTTTTGCAAAAATTTAAAACTCTCATCTTCGGATTCAAAATTTATAAACATAATAAAATCATTTTCGTGAAATGAAATTGTCTTGTTGCAAGACATTAAATGAACCCCTACGGATATAAGGTTCGGGGAAATACAAGTGTTGTATACTTGTATATTTAAAGGCGAAAAAAAATATTTTCACTTTCATACTTAGATGAAAAAAAATCACATGACAACTAAAACAAACAACATACAATGTTAATTAATTAAAAGGATTCGTGAGTATCTTTGGCATTCATATAATGGTCGTTCACAGGAAGCATTAAATCACAGAATCTTTTGACCAATTTTCTCATGAAATAATCTTCAAGCTCGAAAGTAATCGGGAAATGGCTTCCATCTTCTACACGCTAATGCGTGATTCCCGGATCCATTTTAAATAGATGAAGACATAGTTGACGATCGACTATGACAAAAATGCCAAAGGCTTCTCTGTCGTCTCTGTTGAGCATTGTTATCGTACCTGAAAAATGTTCTGAGAAAAAGTCGAATGTGAGGCTTGAATTTTTTGTTCAGTATGAAGTATATTAATGGGTTCCATATCGTGGAGGTCTTGGCTATGAGGACTGAAGCTAGTGTTAGTCTCAGGGGAATGCTGTTTGCTTCACCATAAGCCGCCCAAAAGCTGACGACAGCGTACGGCGTCCATGTCAACATGAAAGCACAACACATCATAAAAGCCATCTGTACCAAAATAAAGGAAAATAGTTAATTGCGTCATGATAAAATTAACCATTAGTTTTAAAATGCACATCTTTCGTAATAAAATCATATTAAACCGAAAAATAAACCTTTTTATTAATTGCTAAACCTGTGGACAACATACAAAAATTTTAACTGAAAAGATGCCATGTATTTTTTACTCCGAGTCTTTTTAGCTCACCTGAACCGAAGGCTCAAGTGAGCTGTGTCCGGCGTCCGTCTGTCGTGTGTCGTCTGTAAACTTTTAACATTTTTCAACTTCTTCTCCAGAACCAGTGGAGCAATTTCAAACAAACTTGCCACAAAGCATTCTTGGGCGAAATGATTCAAGTTTGTTCACAGGAAGTGCCACATCCTCTTTAAAGGGAGATAATTAATAGTTCGTGAAAATTTAGTAGCATCTTTTAAAAATCTTCTTCTCAAGAACCAATGGGCCAGAACATTTGACACTTATATGAATGCTTCATTACTGTAGATTCAAATTTCTTCATATCGTGACCCTAGGGGGTAGGGCGGGACCACAACTGGGGGGTCAACGTTTTACATAGGAATATATAGGAGTTATCAAACAAAAAATCTTCTTCTCAATAACAGCATAGCCATTATTAGTCATATTAATTCAGAAGGATCCTCAGGTAGTGTAAATTCAAATTTGTTCATAACATGACCCCCACAACAAGGGGCAAGTTTAACAAAGGAATATACAGAAAATGTTCTTAAGAAATCTTCTTCTCAAGAACAACAAAGTCGTTATTAGTCATATTAATACAGAAGTATCCTCAGGTATTGTAGATTCAAGTTTGTCCATATTATGACCCTTGGGGGATGAGATGGCCACAATAGGGGGGTCAACGTTCTACATAGGAATGTATAGGAAATATCTTTAAAAATCTTTTTCTCAAGAACAGCAAAGCCATTACTTAATTTAGTCCTATTAATACAGACGCATCCTCAGATAGTGTAGATTCAAATTTGTTCAGATCCTGACCCCCGAGAGTAGGGCAGGGCCACAACAGGGGAGCAAAGTTTTAAAAAAAAATATGTAGGAAGAATCTTTTAAGAACAACAAAGTCATTATTAGTCATATTGATGTAGAAACATCCCCAGGTAACGTAAATGCAGATTTGTTCAAATCATGACCCCCGGGTTATGGCGGGGTCAAAACAGGGGGTCAAAGTTTTACATTGGAATACATCTATCTAGGGAAAATCTTTTTAAAAAATCTTCTTCTGAAGAACAGCAAACCTTTATTATTAATGAAGTAACATCCTCAGGAAGTGTCGATGCACGTTCGTACAAATCAAGACCCCCAGGGGATAGGGCGGTGCCACATTAGGGGGTCAAAGTTTTACATAGGAAAATGTAGGAAAAATCTTTTAAAAATCTTCTTTTCAAGAACAGCAAAGCCATTATGAGATATATTAATATAGAAGCATCCTCAGGTAGTGTAGTTTCAAGATTGTTCAAATCATGACCCCTGGGGTAGGGTGGGGCCAAAATAGGGAATCAAATTTATTCATAGGAAGTCTAGGAAATATCTTTAAAATTGATATTCTTTTCAAGAACAGCAAAGCCATGATCAGACATATATGGAATAATCTTCAGGTAGTGTATACTGACATTTGTTAAAATCATGACCCCTGGGTGAAGGATGGGGCAGAAATGGGGGATCAAAGTTTAACATAGGAATATATAGTAGACGTGTTTAAAAATCTTTTCCATCGGAACAGCAAAGCCATGATTAGTCATATATAGAAGGAAGCATCCTCACTTAGTGTGGATTTAGGTTTGTTCAAATCATGACCCCTGAGAAAAGGTTGGGACCACGTTTGGCAATCAACGTTTTACATAGGAATGCATATGAAAACAAGAAGTCTGTAAGCCAATGCTCACTAGTAATACCCCCGCTTTGATGTGAATGTACACAAGTTCATTATGGACAGACACAAGGATGAACAAGAAGTTGACATCAGAATCATACAAAAATGAATCCCACCATATTGCAGGCCTAAACAAATAGTGTGCTAAAATTTCAAGCATCTGCAATTAGAAGTTGCTGAGAAAACTGCGACCAAAATTTGTTCTGCATGGTACGGACAGACGCACGGTTGAACAGGAAGTTGACACCGGATTCGTACAAAAATTAATCCCACCACATGGCATGCTTCAACAAAGTGTGTGCTAAAATTTCAAGCATCTGCAATGAGTAGTTGCTGAGAAAACTGTGACGAAAATTTTGTTACGGACAGACAGACAGACAGACACACAGACAGACGGACAGACAGACAGACACACACACAAGGGTAAAACAGTATACCCCCCTCTCCTTCGGAGCGGGGGTATAAAAAAATTTAAAAGTCTTCTTTTCAACAACAGCAAATTCATTCTTGATTAGTCATATTTAAATGGAACATCATCGGGTAGAGTAGTTTGAAGTTTGTTCAAATCATGAATCCCTGGGGTAGGGTGGGGCCATAAAAGATGATCAAAGTTTTACATAAGAATATTCAGGAAAAAGATTCTGCTGATGAAGAACAGAACTTCCATAGTTACACAGGTGAGTATTGTGGCCCACGGGCCACTTTTTTTCTTACTTATATATATTTTCAGGAGTAGCTTCTCCTTGCTGATAAGATTGAAAATTGACATTCAAAGCTTATACACTCTATTCCTGTTCCTAAAATCAAGCAAATCTTGCGTTACTAACTATGAATTGTGATCATGTATGCTCAATATATAACAATATGTTTTTAAAAATATTTAACAGTGAAAAAATCTGACTAATTTTCTACCAATAAATGATTTAAGCTTTTGTTAAACCTAAGTGGGTTTTTTAAATTAAAACAATACAATATAAAGGCCACGACAATATACCTTTCCCTTACCTGGTCCCATCATACCTTTTCTCTGCTTTACCGGTAATTATACGTACTTTCAGGAGTTGTATTAATTTTCCTTTTGAATACCAATTACACTGTACATTTTGCAAATAAAATGTAATTACGATTTGCTACTAAACACCCTCTTATTTTCAGATGACAGTTTGTCATATTCCCCCGCGCTTCTTCCCTCCCCCGCTCCAGGAGCTCCTTGCTGTCGGTGATAGATGTTTTGACCTTCAAACTATGTAATTCAAGAAATGCTTTGCTTTAATTCGTCCAGGGATGATTAACCAATTTCTTTAAAACCATTTTTCCATGAAGAGTACTTCAAATTCAGATACATATATGTACTGAGTTTTAGCAAATTGTGGAATGTTTATGTCAGCGAATTGAAATATAAGAAAAACCCTGATTCTATACATGTTAAAGGAGTTCATATTCCTCAAGGACTTTTATAAATTATCGTGCTTGGGAAGATTTCTCAAACAAGAGTTACAGCAGAAAACCGTCTAAAATGTCAAAGTGAATTTTAAAAATGTCATGGAATCTAAATAACAATCCTGAATCCTACAGCAAATAAATTTCAGTTGTATATGGATGATGCTAAGTTACAAATTATAGCATAGTTCTGACACTCTGTTGGAGCTCTAATCACAGGCACTTGTTTCTGTAATAAAAGTTCACCACCAAAGTGTAATAAAAACTCAGATATCTAAGTCCAAATTACATGAAGAACGATTTGTTGTACACGTCTCGGGCAGAATATGTGTTTATTTTTTAATTGGCTAAAAAGTTGTTTATGAAATTACATCGGAAAAAATAAGTTAGCTTTAAACGAAGCCTTAGTCTCATGATATGTTTTGTTTAACAACATTATATCTACTTTTTGAAATATTTGAACCTTTAGATTGAAATTTCTATTATTTATCATTATTTTAATTTTCTGTATTCTGTCCGAGACTGGTCTAGAGTATATCATGTTGGGAAATGAGTTTTCGAGTTCTGTTTACACAGAAAAAAAGATAAGAAATGCAAGCATGCGTTACAGTTTTTAGATAAATTATAGCAGTAGAGAATGGTAACAACCACATTTCCACTGTGTTTACTGATGATTCAATTTTCGGGAGAGTCGCACTCCATGAAATTCTTGTGTTAATTTCAGAATATCGGGGAATAAACTTTTAATTCTTTAGGCTATTTTCTTGGGGGAGGGGGGTGTTAATCTAAACATCATAAAGATGTTTCATAACACATTTTTCAAGCTCAAAATTTTTAAATCTTTTTTTAAATTAATTTTCAATTCATTTCCTTTCCATAATAGTAAAACTTTGACCCCTTATGCACAGCTCTATCTCAGGGTCTATGAATTAAAAATAGTTTTAAAGATTTTTTTTATTTCTTTCTGGTCCAGTGGTTCTTAAGAAGATTCTTAAATGACTTCACTGTTTTTTTTTTCATTATCTATTACTTATATACCCTAAAGAAAGGTCCAGCTAAAGGTTGCTCTTTTTAACAAACGTGAATTCTATTCTTCAAAGAATGAGTGTGGTCAAAATTCGTTAACTGGTCCTGGAGATGAGATGTAAAGATAGGAAAGGATGATGTCTGATATGCACACACATACAGACGGGCAAACACTGGAAAACTTCGATCTGAAATGTTTACTTGAACCTATTGTTCAGGTGTGCTAAAAACACTGGATTTTCAAAATGTAAACAATTTCATTTGATTGTATATATTCAATTACAAACATCCTTAAACAACTAACCTTGATAAGATATTCCTCTCTTTTCCGAATGTTGTCTCCCGTTTTGCTGCGCACTGTTCGGAATGCTCTGCAATGTCTACGAAGATACAGGTACACTCCTCCATAACAGCACTTCATTACGATGACTGGGAACACTATGCATAAAATCAACATCAAGGTCACAAAACCTTTGTTGGCTGTCCACTTTAGCGTACAGGAAGTTCCATACGGCTCCACTCCGTATTGGCCCCATCCTAACAAAGGAAGTGATGCCCAGAGGCATGCGTACACGTAACTTCCAATGATGAAGAAATTTGTGTATTTTGAGAGAGAAGAAGCTGAAAATAAAATAAATGATATACGTTTTTTTATTTTTTTTTTTTACTTATTAAATCGAGTTTTTTTTTTTTAATATTTTACATACAATTGTATATTTGCTTATTCATGGGTTAATATTTGGCTTCTGGAGGAGATAGAAAACAATTTGTGAAAGCGATGAAACTGCTTAAAGCTCTATACATGAACGATCCTTTTTTCACTGAAAGCAATTTAGCATATTGGTATTATATAGCAATAAATATGCCTTTCGCAACTATCGAGACCGCCTGAAAGACTGCCTTTGTTTAGCTTCGGTAACCGCAAAGTTTCCGTCTAATCATTGTAGAGTGCACAACTTGCAAAAACATCCAAAAACTGAAAATTTAATGCTAAGACAATGTGATATAAGTTTATAGCAGGTGATGTCCTGAAGAATTGATGTCGTTTACTATACTACAAAAGATCATTACAGAAAGCATCAAGGGAGACTCATTCTTACACACAAGGATGCCAGAAGCTAACTAGACTGCATAAATATAGCTGCATTCCTGGAACTTCCAATGTTTAATTTCTTTATTTATTTGAAAAATATCTTCAGATTAATAAATTGAACGGACATGAAAATTCTTGATATTTAATGCAAATGGCATTCTTCTAATCTCGTAAATATGTCATGTGTTTGACTTGCTTGCACTTTATACATCAATAAACGCAAACAGAGTTAAACAACACTGGTGTTTTGGATTTTATTTCCTACATTTCTATTCTAGTTTTCTTAATTAAAGTTTTAATGTCTTTTATCAATACACTGCAGATTTCCCACTTTTCTTAAATATCAAGGATAGTTCATGAAAGTGCAAAAATGTACGACAATCAAACACACCCGAAATCCGTAGTTTTGATGATAAAAGAGGAATAACATCGGGACGGACAACCTCGGAATAGACATTTTTTTCCGAACTTGCGCACCCTTTTACGTTTAAGCTATCATCCTCGGATTTTTTAAATGGTGGAGTTTTTGTTTCTAAATTCATATATATAAAATTTTAAAAAAGCAACATTTTCTGCTAGTTTTTGAGATAATAGGCAAAGATAAAAAATCCATGGGAAAACATGCATGTACCTAAAATTACCCCATGAAAAAAACCCACAAAATCCCATGGGGTTTAAAATTTTCCACATAGAATTCAGTTTGAGGTGTTCCTTGTATTGTCACGTGGGGTTATCCCCCTCGTTTTTTTATCAAGGGGTTAAAAGCCCACATATCGATATTCATTTTCTCCAAGATAATTCCTAAAGACTGTCTTTTTTTTAAATGCATCATCTTCTCTGTCTTTTTATAATAGTAAGTCGTTATTACAAATACATATTTTCATTTATTTGTGTATCTATTTCTTATTTTTTTGCAAATGGGCTTCAAAAAGTTTCATATGAAACAGGCATCTCCCACATTGGTCATTCATCATAAATATCAGTCTATGACATTTAATCCAATATACAAGTAGGCAGTTCTTAAAATAAAAAGAAATGATACAAGGAATACAGGCATAACATGTTCAACAGAAACCATGGCACAGTATCTAAATAACTTCTCTTCTATTCTGAGATGAAAATATTTAAACTTTTTAAAATCATTTCTAGCTGCTGGCAAAACAAAGGACTATATGCGGTAAAAGCATATTTTTGCCCACATAAAAACCAAATTTTGAAAATATCTAAAAATGTAAACAATTGTATATTATACTTTATGAAAAAATCTTAATTAACAAAAAATTTCATAATTTTTAAGTAGATTATCGACAAGTCTTTTTTCTGTGATGTCACAAACTATTTGGATTTTCCGTTATTTTCAAGAAGGGGGCAAAATGAACAAAATGTGTTTAATTCTGAGTATAGAATTAACTAAGCGTAAGTTTGCCCCAGAACAATATTCACATATTTCATTGTTATTCTGATTCTAAACATTATTATGATATTAAAAGATTGGGATGGGCAGGTCATAAATTCATATATTCTCTGTGTGGGTAAGGCTTTCGTTTCGGGATGTTATCTTAAGAAGACTTTAAGCTTTTGCAATGCAATTTTATACCACAACAAGAAGACCCCGATTGATTTTGAGGTCAAAAGTCAAGGTCATACATTCTGTTTGTGTGTTACGTTTTCGTTTCCGGGTGTTATCTCAAGAGCTTTTGCGATGAAACTTTATACCACAACTCCCTGTGGCTTAAAGAAGGTCATAAATTCATAATTCTCTCTGTGTGTTACACTTTCGTTTCGTGATGATATCTCAAGAAGCCTTTGAGCTTTTACAATTGCAATTTCACAACTCCCCATGGCCTAAAGAAGACCCCTATTGATTTTGAGGTCAAAAGGTCAGAGGTCAAGGTTATAAATTCATACATTATCTCTGTGTGTAACACTATTGTTTCCGGCGACATCTTTAAAAGTCTTTAAGCTTTTATTTGCAATGAAATTATATATCACAACTCCTTATTGCCAAAAGAAGACGCCTTTTGATTTTGAGGTCAAAAGGTCAAAGGTAATAAATTCATACACTCATACATTGCAAATAACATTTTCCAGATGTTGACTTCAGGTATGTTATTCGTGATATAAGTTATATCAAGAATTTTTTGAGAAGTATATTTTAGATAACTACCCATATAGCATGACTCAAACTTACAAAGAAAAGTGGGGCTCAGTGTGCATTTTACTATTACAGTAACTTGACCTTTTTGCTCTTTAATCGTAACTTCTAGGTTAATCACGTTAACCTTAATCATATTTTACCAAATATCATTCATCATTTTTAAATACATATTCTTCTTTTGTCAGTCTGTTTAGTGAATGTGTAAAATTTGTTTTGAAAATATTAATTGAAACCTGTATTTAATATTCCTAGCATATAATAACGAAAAAAATTCAACGAGTAAAAAAAGTATATATATTGGGCTAAAGTTCCAAGATATTAAATCAAAGAAATGTGTAGATTTGAAGAGTTTTCTTCTAAATATCCTTCCACTACAAGAAATAATCCCCCATATATCTTGTTTCTCTACAATTTTGAGAGCAGTCTTTATATTTAATATTGTATGATTTGCATTTTTTAATTCAAATATGTCATAAGAATTGAATTGTAATCAGTAATTTTGAAGTTAGAGGTTCTGACCAAACTTTTCTCAAAAGCTGACGAGTGACATACCTTAAGTTTTCTTTGATAAAATTTAATACAACTCCCTATGGCATAAAGAACCCTATCAATTTTGAGATCAAAAGATCAGAGGTCAAGGTAAAAAATTTCTGCATTCTGTCTGTGTAACATTTTTTTCCAAACTATATCTTAAAATGTTTATTTTAGATTTTGCAGTGAAACTTTATATCACAACTCCCCATAGCCTTAAAAAACATTGATTTTGAGGTCCAAATGTTAAGGTCAGCAATACATATAGTATTCAGATAATAATTTTAGTTTTTCTGCAAGCCTTTTGTCACGAATTTCTTTAACTTTAAATACTCCTAATTTAAAGCCAAAAGATAAAAGGTATAAAGACTCATATTGACTTTAAGGCCCACCTGACTTTTATTTGATTTTATATAGATATGAACCACATTGTCAAAAACAAATTTTCTAATTTTTTAAGGATTTCTGTGAATTTTCACCCCAGGGCAGAGATGCCTGTAAAAAATCTACATGAATTACAAATTATTCATTAGATCACAACCTATCAAAATATCATATATTCAATTAGGGACAGTCCTGCCCTAAAGGACCTCTAGTCCAAAATTTCATGCAAAAATCGATGCTTAAATAAACTGGAAAAAATGTTGTTTAAGCCAATTTTGAAGGTTAGTCTTAAAATTACAAGCAATCAATTTCGGGGACATTGATATTGAAATGTGACTTCTTCCGGAAAATTGTTCTTTCCTATAAGTCCTTTCCTATAAGTCAACTCTTTTGAAATTACGAACTGGTCCAAATTTGAGCGATTTTATACCTCAACGGTTTCAGAAATGAAGATATGACTCGTAGTTTCAAAAATGAAAGTAATTAAGATTTTTAACCAAAACCTCGAAGCATCGTAATTTACTATTAAACACCCATTAACAGTCAGTGTAAGCAACCTCACGAAGTTTTGATAGGGAGAGAGATAGGCGGAGAAATATTTAGACAAGAGGGATCTTTATGCGATCGATACTAAAATTCATCTTAGGCGATTTTACTCCATGCACAGGTCCAGAATTCCAGTGGGAAAATCGGTTTGATGAATTCGATTGATGAATGTTTTAGTATTTGATATTTGAGACTTTTTTCCAAATTAAATGATATGAAGATAAAATAACATTGTAAATTTAAATGATTTCTGTTAAAAGATCGGAGAAAACGAATAAATTCGGCCCCTAGTCCGGATTTTAACTGACGTTAGAGAAGCTTAAATGATCTCAATTTACTATGTGATGTACGTCTTAGCTTCAAAATTTTGCACACATTAAAGAACAGACAGTAAGCTCAGATGATTTTTATATCTTAATAAAGGGCTAAAAGCTTGCTTTGAATGAGAAATTTACCGGAAAAACTTGATTCATCATTCTCAAGGGACGGGGGTTTTTTTATCCATAAAAGAGAAATATATATTCATAAGATATTCATAAGATCATGTTGCATCATCTGAAAACGCATGTACATGTTTGATCAGAGTCGACATTTAAGGTCGTCTGATTTCTTTTCTCAAGGACGTTATCATCTGTTAATTAAGTTATGACAAAAACTATGATTGCTTTTATAAAGAATCTCCATAATTAATCAAGGGGAAGGAGTCATCATGTCGTCAACTCTCCCGCAAGAATACAATGAATAATATCTGTCTTTCCTGTTTTCTTTTGTCTTCCATTCAATAATTTACTCATTTTCTCCCCCTTATTTACCGTTGTACTGCAATGACTTCCATACCCTAGTTATCACCGATTCTACGTACTATTGTCTCATAGCAAAGTGGCAAATTCTAAAAGTATATTCTTCTAGGCACAATATAAAACAGGTTCGTAAAACGCAGGGGATGTGGGTAGGGGTAAGGGTGACCCACAAAATCCACAAACATTGGTCCCCCACAAACAATGATGATTCCACAGTAAACCGGCGACATACATATAATTTTTTCCGTCAAGCACACATCCATTTGTGTCCCCATTTGACACCAGAAAAGGAAATGTTTTTGGTATTTCTAAAATAAAGTTATGAAAGGGATCAGTCAGTTTAATTTCTCAATCCCTTCAAAATACAGTGAAACTAGCCATCTTGTTTACATAGAGCCGTGATATCAGCTGAGTCTCGGGACTTCCCACATAGTGTCGGTTAAGGTCGACAATTACCATCATATAAACCACACCTCTCGTAAATGAAGTAACACACACCTACATCACTACAGTGACGAATTATATGTACCATGCTTATGTAACTAAGAGTAAGGGCCTTCTTTTCTTAGTAAGCATCCCTGAATCGATTTATAATTTGTGTATACTATCGTCAAGAAAGGTGAAGGTATGCTAAGAGAATTGACACATTAACATTCAAAATTTCATTCAATGTACATTGTAAACTGATAATTGCCATAATGCCTCTAAGGTTATGTAACAAATAAAATAATGGAGAAGTACTCCAAAATCAGCCCCTTTCTTCTGACTCTGTTTCTGAAACATTAATTGAGCTGGTCAAGCTTGAGCTGACCATAACAAATTTATTTGAATAATAAAAAAAAATATCTAAAGTATTTACAAAGTAATAAATTCAACTACTTGAAATTAAATTTGAATTTCATTCATCATGTTTAGTTTTGAAGGGGTGGGATGCATGTTTATGAAAATAGTTGCCAAGTTTGTATTTTTTTTTTTTTTGAAAAACCTCCAAAGGTAATGGTAATACATTACTTTGCTAAAGTAATGGTAATGTAATGCTTTACTTTAAGAAATTAAAGTAATGGTAATGGTCATTTAATGCCCAAATTCTTGAAGTAAAGGTAATGTAATGCATTACTTTATAATGTAATTTGCCACAAGCCTGTTTATGGAGACATGGATGTATACTTACATTTGCTGGATTTGCACACATGGATATATCTGGAGAAACTCATCAAGGCTAGAGTAGATATGCTGACCACCCCACAAAAAAATCCCAGACACCCATAGGCACTGCATCCTAAAATACACAATAGACACATTCGTTGAACAAAAGAAATAATGGGTATTGATTTTTGTTTTGTTTTGTTTTGTTTTGTTGTTTTCTTTTTTTTGGGGGGGGGGGGGTTGGCTAAATTTAAAAGGTCCTCGACTGTCAAATGTCTATAATTTCAATTTTTCTTGTTCTCACTTTAATATCTTGGAATGCAATTTAACTTTTATATAGTTTCCCAACAGAAAACAATGTCCTGTAACTGTTATTCTCATGAATCAGCGTGATCAATTTTTAATTATCTTTGAGAAACTGTTATTTCTTTCCCTTAAATGTTTTAATAGAAAAAGTAAATAAAATTCTAAATTCATCTTTTCAGTGGAAAATGTAGTTGTCAGTAAATGGTATAAGAAATATCAATCCTTTTAACATTGTTATATAGAGAATGTAATGAGTCTACATTTATTCCTACTGTAGTTAACGAATAGAACTCAATTCCACTCGAAATTGGAAATTTACAGTCAATATCAAAATTCAAATCTAAAATTAGTACTAAAAAATCTGCTCCACAATCACACTTTAATTACGGTAACAGACGACTAAATGTTCTTCAAACCAGACTACGGCACAATTGTGTATTGCATAACGACCATTATAGATGCAATTTAATATCAAGTCCTTTATGCTCGTGTGGTAAAGTAGAGGATATCATTATTTTTTTGTAGGTGCAAAGTATGTGAAAGCCAGAAAAAAATTTTTAAATAAATTTTTTACAATTTGACAAATCCACATTCTAGATACACATGTCTTATTATTGGGGGGTGGGGGAGTGGGGTGGGGGGGGTGGGGGGGGGGGTAGATTCATTGAATGCTGCAGAGAATGAACGTCTCTTTTCTTTTGTTCAAACATTTATCAAACATTCTGGTAGATTTCCTTGTTAGCATTAATTAATATATCAGTATATGTACAAAATTATTTCTATCTATATATGTATCTGCAAAATGCATTGATTTGTAAACTTTTGTAAATATTGTATACTTTAAAAACTTTATGTTTAGCTGAGACAATTTTAATGTGTAATAATTTACATGTAGGGAGAGGGCGTAATAAGTTTTCAGAACTTGCGCTCAATCCCTTTGTAATTATAAATTACAATTAAATATGTTCAAATCAGAGAATATAACGAGCTCTTTGATTAAAAAAAAATGTGTTTGTGAAACACTGATGCCCCCGTATGGCAACTTATAGTGAAGATTTAACTTTTTCCAAATGCAAATCAAATATGTTGGTACCCAAAGTAAGGTCTTGTCTCGAGGAATATACCTGTGAAATATGAAAGCCCTAGCAGCAACCATTAAAAAGATATGGAAAAAGATAAAGTTTTTCAAAAGTAAGTCAAACATCAAGGTCAAGTGGTCAGAATTAATGGTGCCCAAGGAAAGGCTTTCTCGCAAGAATAACACATGTGAAATATGAGGCCCTAGTGCCAACCGTTCAAAAATTATGGCCAAGGTTAAAGTTTTTTTCAAAAGTAGGTCAAACTCCAAGAACAAAGGGTCGAAAGTGTTGATATCCAAAGTAAGGTCTTGTCACAAGGATTACAGATGTGTAGTATGAAAGCCCCAGCACCAACTGTTGGAAAGTAATGACCACGGTTAAAGTTTTCTAAAAGTAGGTCAAACTCCAAGGTCAATGGGCTATAATTGTTGGTATCCAAAGGAAGGTCTTGTGACAAGGAATACACATGTCAAGTATGAACGCCCTAGCACCAACTGTTCCAAAAGTTATGGCCAAGGTTAAATTTTCAAACAGTATGTCAAACTCCAAGGTCAAGGTCAAAGTTGTTGGTATCCAAAGGAAGGTCTTGTCAAAAGGAATACATATGTAAAGTATGAAAGCCCAAGACCAACTTTTCAAAATTATGGCCAAAGTTAAAGTTTTTCAAAAGTAGGTCAAATTCCTAGGTCAAGGTCAAAGGGTCAAAGTTGTTGATATCCAAAGGAAGGATTTGGCATAAGGATTACACATGTGAAGTATGAAAGCCCTGGCTCCAACTGTTCAAAAGTAATGGCCAAAGTTAAAGTTGATTAAAATTTTGCAAAACTTTGTCAAACTCCAAGGTCAAGGTCAAATATGATGGTTCCCAAAGAAAGGTCTTGTCACAGGAAATAAATATGTAAAATATGAAAAGCCATAATTCCAACCAATCAAAAGTTATGGGCAAGATTAATGTTTTGCGGACAAACAGACAGACTGACGGACAGGGCAAAAAATATATGCCCCCGAATCTTCGATTACGGGGGCATAAAAAGGAATTAATAAAATTGTTTACCTCCTGTACCAAATTTCCATCGATGAAAAAAGGAGGAGGATATTCCGAAAGGAAGCCCCACAACAGAGAGAATTAAATCACTAACAGCGAGGTTCACTATGAAGTAATCGGCAGGAACAAGACTGTTACGTTTTCGTACACAAACAATGATGACGAAAAAATTCAGGACAAAGGATACTACCGCTGAAAGAAATAAAAAATTATATTGTTATTTTAAAAGTACTCAAATTTTTATGCGCTTAACCCAATATTCATTGTAATATCCCACGAGAGACATATTACTAGAGGAAATGTGCCAAGTGAATACGAATTTGATACCATTCTAACAGATGGGTAATTATCATTTTAGAGAAAGATTTTTTTTTTCCAAAGTCTGAACACACGGAACAAACTTTTAAGTTTAATTATCATCAATTTTATAATTATTATTTCAAACTCTGGAGTTTAAATCTGCTGTTGTCTCGAATTTTTTACAAGGATAAACAGTAGTTTTATTTGGTCTGTGATACAATATTATCAACAATGAATGTTATAAAATGCTTTTCATTTCCTCTTAATTCTTATGTCATTTTTTTTATTTCATCGTAATCACCGGATCGGAAAATCATAATAACAACAAAAAATAAAATATAAATAAAGCCTAGCAAAAAAGAAAACAAGTATTTCTTTTAAAGGAATGATCGGCATAGGTCTTAAATGTCTAGAAATAAGTTTGTAGAGTTTTCTTTTTATTTAACTTCGTTCTTCAGGGGAAGTGTACTTGCAAATGAAATTCTTACGAATGTAAAGAAAAATGTATGTTTATTCACTGATTGGACGTCTGCATCTCAAGGTAAATGCATCAAAAACATGTTCGTTAGTACTTAAATAAATACTTAACCCTAAATTTACATAGATTCAAAGAACGATAAAAAAAAACAATGAAATACAAATATTTAACACGTGATTTTTTTTAACAAAAGGGAAAACCATAAGATCATTGTGATCAGTAAAAATACAACTCAAATGGTAAATGTCTAAAATCTATCAGCTTCCGGGGTTTCTCCCTGAACCCATATAGGAGGGAGATTCAAGCGCCCACATCAAATGGGCATTTTAGAAGAATTCCAAAAGGTGTAAACGGACATTTTAGCGGAAGATTTATAGGGTATTTTAGCGGAAGAAATCGCAACCCATAAGAATTCAAGGGACTTTTAGTGGATATTTTTCACCGGTGAATAAAGGGAAGGATTGTCATTTGTGACGGGTTTCGATACAGAATTTTGATACAGAGACATGCTGAGGTATAAATAGTGAAAAAATATTATATTTAGAAATTAACTTCACAAATTATAATGAACGTTATCTTTCTCAAAATCCCTCTTCTACCTCCCCGTTTGTATGCAGGGCGCACCAGAGACAGTCTGGATAACGGAAGAGGAATATATATAGAGAGGAATGAATATCCACATCATATTAAAATTTCCGCTAAAATGTCCACATATTTTCCGCTAAAACCTCCACTTTTTCCGCTAAAACTAAAAGTAGTCATATTGCAGAATTTATTTGATAAAATAAAATATGTCAGAAAGGACACAACACTGAATGGCCCATAGCCGAAAGAAACTTATAATTTCTCATATCAACAAGGCCTTCATTTCTAAATACAAGATAGGTATCAGAAAAAGAAAATTTATTTTTGAAACAAATTTGGGGTTACAATGACAAGTTTTATTCACACGTTGACTTGAACATGAGTGAAAGGTGAGTATTGTTGTTACTGGGCCTTTTAGCCTGGACATAAACTGAAAGCCGTCTACACTGAAGAATATATTTCAGGAATGTTTACACAATTTAATAAACCAAATGCTGCAGAAAAATCGAGATGCAACAATAAACAGTAAACAAATTTACTGTATGTACGATCGTACATTCTCCAAGTTCGCAATGAGCATAACATCTAATCGAATAAATATCTTTAGAATTTATTGTGTTCTATTGCAAAAGTTTGTGATTTAAACATACTTTATTGAATAAATCAATATGGCTCGGGAAACGGGCAAAGCTAGTCTATGTATACAAAGTCAAGGAAGGATTCTCGTATCCGATAATAAAATATACTATTAATCAAGAGTTTAAATATGAAATAGATTGCTCGATCCTTTCACTACATGTACTTCACTATCTCAATGTCCCGACAAGCTATATCAAAAACTGCAATCACATAAAAGGGGAAATATACGACAGAAATCTTTTTCAATTACGAATATTTTCTCAATGTAAACGGGTTGTTTGATTGCTTGTTTTTTGTTTTTGTTTTTGTTTTTTTTTTTTTTTGGGGGGGGGGTATATTTTTTTGTATTCACAGATGTATAATTTCGCTTATTTCTCCTTTGATACATAAATACAGGTGTTTAGATTCGCCAAAATATAAAGTTATATGTTATTATTATTATACTGATGAGCTGTGTTGCCCAGAGTTATATTCTGAATAAAACAACATCTGTAACATATACATAGTGACCTTTTAATATATAAATATTTACTTTTCTTAAATAAGAGACTTAATTGAAAGCTCTAACATTTTAAAACATCTCGAGTTTTTCTCTGCCTATATACAGTAATCTAATATATTAATAATCATTTCATGTCGACGACCTCATAGGAAATTATGTTATGCTTCTTGTTTTTGTGGCATACATAAACAAAATAAGCAATATTTACTATATAAAATTTAATTTCTAAGGTAAAATATATGTTGATTGACATACCAGGTAATGATGCTGAATGTGAATGAACATGCCTGCAAGCTTGCATACTATCAATTCGTGGCAATATAAATATGTTTCCGAGTTGGCCAGACTTGAAGCATAAATGATCGATACATTGAAAAAGAATTTGAAACAGAAATTCTGTTATTTACAAATGATAGTAAAAATGTTTATGTAAAATATTATTAAATGTCATATTGGTTTATCACTATAAGTGAAATTTTAGGGATTAGATTTTAGATACTCTTTAATGTTTGCATGTACTTGCAACCCGTTAAAGAGGAAAAAAAAAGCTTTAAAACGCGCTTTTCAATGTTAATGTTAATCTTGAATTGAAAAGAATTCGATTTGATTATACCATATATTGCGATTTTGGATTTGATTATACTACATATTGCGATTATCTTTTAATCAGCCTGTCTCAAACAAAATATTTTGATTGTTTTCTTTTAAAGAAAGCATCGTACTCACGATTAACAAAAAAAATGCTCAGTTCGCTTCAGACTTCCGATAAATGAATACAATACTTCCAATTATTGGAAAAATGTAATCAATTACTTGGAAAAATGTAATTAATTACACCCAATTATAGCCACCTTTTTCAATTACCCCAACCCTGATCAAAACATATTGCAATATACCAAATTCAACATTCTGTTAATTGCAAAAACGTTGACTATACAAGTTCATCATACAAGGTACGCGTCCATTTCCGAGTAGTTCCCAAAACTTAGCCGTCAAAAGTCGCTCTATCAGTCCAACTTACCCGTCAACAGTAGCTGTATTCCTACAACATAGTCCTCCCAAGCTGTCAACTTAGAATCAAACATGTCCAGCTCGCGTCCATCAGTGATATTGTCCAAATAAAGTGGAATATTAATATCAACTTCACTGTTTAACTTGTGTAAAGTTGTCATCGAAACAAGTGCCTACTGGCAATGAGTAATGGACAATTGAGAAAAAGCATCAACCTGCTGATCCTTTTATTTTGTCCATTACTCGGGGATTAAGTTCACCTAAGTTGCAGCATATCATTCTGCAGGTTGCTAGTTGTAAATTGAGGAAGGACTAAGGAGGTCCGCTGTATGTATTGTCTCTTTAGTATAAAATCGATATACTCAACGCGCGGGGTATGAAAACGTAAACTGAAATAAAAGATTTTTTCACACACACAGACACACACACAGATGTATACAAATTTCAATTTCTGGAAAATTTCAATGGAATATCTCCATATAAACTACTTAAGCGCATCATAATTGCCGCTAGTTTTTTAACGAGAGTGATAAGCATTTCTTAATGTTCATTACTCAAGCAATGGTTATCAACACTAACAACTTCACATTTTAAAGGTGACGCAAATAAGAGTTCCAATAAATAAAGCAAAATATAGCTAGCAATTGATTGAATCCCTTCGTCGACACTAAAAATATTGACACGAGACACTTTAATATATAATACCATTGCTTTTTTTTTTAAATGAAACATCAATCAAAAATATTCCTTCCAATTTTTAAAGTGAAAGTATTCGATATTAAATTATTTTAATTTCTCTCGAATTTTTGTGGATAAAGAAACAAAGAAACATCCGTAGGCTCTTGAAGAATTCGTTAAAATGAGATAATTTCATTTCAAAGTATATTTTTGAGGTATGCTATGTATAGGAGAAGGCTAGTCTCAACTTCCAATGGAAGCAAAACTTTTTATTTTATACAATAAAAATATTTGTTTCTTCACCAAACGCAAATAAAGTCATATATCTTAAAATCAATGCTTTTATCGCAGTAGGCATTCATTAATGAAGAATTCTCACTGCTCTGGCAAACGTCCAAAACTGAAACAATACCTGTTGTCGAGTAAATTAAAAAAGAAAAGAAAATATTTTATGAGGCAATATAATAAAGATGTGCTAATGTATATTAGCAACCATAAGTTACATCTATATCTTCAAACCCTTTCTCTGACAGATATTTAGTTTGATTTGTTTGCTGTTTTTGTGTTTGCTTCGATTGTTCTTAAGGTCTCCTTTTGGTCTGTTTGCCTATTATTTCATTTTGCTTTATACTTTCGAGAAGAAGTTATGAATTTCGTATTACATTGTATTTGCATATTTCGTATTTACATTGTATTTGCATATTTTCTCCGTTGTAAGATACGTTACTGGTTTATAAAAGATGAGGATAGATTGTCATCTATTTATAACATCTTTGATTCCATTTATGAGTAGCTTTATCTTCATTTATTGATCTTGTGAAATAAAATAACAATACTCTCTTTATATTAGGTTTAAACAAATTTTACTAGATGACTTCAGTTTTAAATATGTTGTTGCCAACTGCAGACACGTAGCATTTTTTGTGAACTTGAAGTAGGGGAAAGGGGCAAC